TAGGTATACTAACACCGGAGAAGGAGAGTTGGCAATCCCAGATGTCAAATTCTATTATCATGCTTTCCAACTAAACCAGCTCTCCTAATTTGTCACAGAGCAATATTCCACCAAATGGGTAGCCATGGAACTAGAAATAGTTTAGCTGAACTTAATCTTCATTTCTCTATTAGGACATGGAGAGTGTTGAAGAAGATTTGAAACCTGTTTCTCTACAACTCCCTCCTTATTTGGAAGCAATGGGTTCACATACTAGCTCTGGATCTTTCTTTTATTTGCCCATTCCTATTATACCTCCCCATTTTTATGAAGTGGATAAATTAGCTCAATTCAAATGTTGGAAGGAATGTGGCCTATACTGAGTTGTGGATTTATTTGAAGACAGAAAGCTCAAAACGGCAGATAATTTGCTCAATGCCTTGGGACGCGCCAAATCCTCCTGGTTCCAAATACTGGAAATGCTCTCTTTTGCAAAAAGCAAATTGATAAAAGACAGTTGCCCCTGTCCCTTGACTTTTTACATTTGTATAGCAAAAGGACAAATGTGGAGCAGCCATTATATATAAAAATATAATACAACCAATCTATGGCAAGAGTCAACATGCCAGGCTAATTTGACAATCTGATCTAAACATGGATATCTCTGAAACCACCTGGTCACCCATTTGGACTCCCCTCCCCCATATAAATCACTTTCAGCATTGATGAGGGAAGGAACATTAAAGGCCATACATAGATGGTATTTAACACCCATAAGATTATAAAAAATGGCGAAAGACGCCTCCCCAAAATGCTGGAGAGGTTGTAAGATTCTTGGTCCCTATTTACACATGTGGTTGGATTGTCCCAAGGTTAGAGCTTTCTGAAATGCTGTTTTAACCCAAATTTCTGATATCGTGAAGCAACCTGTGCAATTTTGCCTAGGTCTTCTAATGCTATTGATTTACAGCAAGGACAATAGCCACCTGAAAAATAAAAAACTTGTCACATTCCACATCTCAGCAGCCAGAGCTGAAATTGCGAGATGTTGGAAAACAGGAGATATTCAACTGAGCAACTGGTGGAAGAGGATATGGGACACATGGTTGTCAGAAAAACTCTCCTACACCTTCAGGTTTTGCAATAGACAAAGGAAGGCACACACATTTTTGAGGATTGGTCTGTTTTTATTAAATATATTAATAGCAACATGATCAATATTGGACCTCCAACCCATCAAACTATCTTTTGGAGAGATGACACCCTGGACTCCGAGTGTTACTGCTATACCAGGATAAATTATCTTCCTGTAAAACTCTTTTTGTTGACCTTCAAGGCTCACAGAATGTATTTTGTGTTGATTATATTGATTGTTTGCAAAGCTATTAATAGAATAGAACAAGTTTTATTGATTAATTGGGCAAAGCTATTAATAAAGTCCATTAAAAACTATTTTAAAAATGGGGGGGGAGTACAGCTTCCTCCATTTTGAAAAAAAACCTTCTGCAACATCCAGTTAATACTATCTTTATCTATCTATACACAGAGAAATAATGGAAATTATTGGTTTAACTACTTTATGAAGAGGAAAACACTGTGATTTTCAAATACTCTGTTATTTGATACTTTGTAATGTGGCATTTGAATTCAGAATGTTTTTGTCATACATTTCTAGTAAGTGGCCTAACAAATTATACTTTTGAATACCTAGACGTTTCTTTTTCATGTGCTTCTACACTACAACAAGATCTCACAATGTGTGTGTTATTTCCTTTCATGCAGCACTACAAAAAGGATGTGTAGATCAACTTTCTTCCTCTTTCTAAACAGCCTCATCCACAGTAACCCAACTAGAATTAGCGTTACAAACAATGCTAGGCACCCTGTCTGGTTCTCTAAATGGCTTGTTATCTTTACATACTCACTCAACAGTATCTCTTTGTCTGTTCTGCTCACCCCTTGAGGTAGCATATCAGAGGTCTCCATGTCAACTTAATAAGGATATAGCCAAGTCTATTTATAGACATTCAATCCATTTACAGCTTCCATGAAGATTATATGGATTAAGAATATTTCTTTGTACAGAGAAACAGTCTGCAGCCAGTATCACCCATAAGTGAAACGTCTCGCAACAAATCAACAGGATTCACAAACAGAAAAGCCAACAGTTGAGCTAATATTGAATAAAAACTTTTGTGACATTTAGAATTGTTACAGTAGAGGCCTTTTTTCTTTGCATGGTAGCCTTTATATGGATCAAGTTACTAGCCTATACTGTATTGAGTTTAGATTTTTCAATGGCTACTATAAAACAAATGATTAAAGTATAAGGCAATGCTGTTATTATTTAACTAGTAATTCTTGCATGTAAAGAAACTAACCTGGAAGTCAAAAAATCTATTGTTGTTTTATTCCCCTACCCCACAATGCCCACTGCAGATGCTATTCACAGTAAATTGAAACAATGTTGCTTTAACTAGATTATTTCAATCAGATTTAATAATTGTCAATAGGACCATTTGCCACTAATTTTGATTGCTTTTATTATCTGTCCTAAAAATTCTTGGGAAAAATTTTCCAGGAACCTTGAACATTTTCAAAACTGTTATGTTTAACCATGAGAAACAAAAGAGGAATCATTGTTGAAGCAGGAATTTGAACAAGAGGTCACCAAAACAGCAAATATTAAAACATTTCTCTTATTCGAATCTAGGGCTGACAGTCAAAGAGGTTTAACCGTCAAAAAATGATTTAATCGTTAGATTATGTCTGTAAAAATGCATACAAATAAACAAGTTCTGAAAAAATGCATTTGTTTTTAGATGATGTGCGTGCGCCTTATACGAAGTACCATAACTCACACATGTGTGAAAGAACATCATGTGTAATAAGAAGGTGCTTTCTACTCATCAATTTGTAACTGCTTTGTTTAAAACTAATTAGCATTGGGGAAATTTTTGAAAGATTTTAAACTGACCAATTAGTCTACAAATACATCATCTCATTTGGTTACTCTATCCAGAGTAAGTCTTAAGTAACTGTTCCTTTCTTATACTTTAAAACAGGGTTGGGAACCATGCAGCTCTTCTGAAGTTCCAGCATAGCTTTTCTGTCCCCTCTGAACCTTTCTAACCTTATCAAACCCTTGATATCCTGCCAAAACAAAACAAACAAAATCAATAGGGGAAAAACATTTTCATCCAAAAAACTCCACTTCTCTCTGCTGGATTAGTCATTAAAATTTTTTGGAGGGCTATCCCAAAACAATAAAAAGGCCCAAATTCATGTGCACCCCCCAGCAACTGTGTCGGCTACCACGTGTAGCAGCCCCAAGACCCCAAAAAGTTTCAGTGCAATTGTCCAAGCTTCAGAGCAGTGGTTCCCAAACTTTGCTCCTCCAGGTGTTTTGGAGTCCAGCTCCCAGAATTCCTGAATGTTGGCCAAGTTGGCTGGGGCTTCTGGGGGTTGAAGTCCAAAACACCTGGGAGACCAAAATTTGGGAATCACTGCTCCAGAGCATGCTCATTTTTCTTACATAATAAAGCAAAAATAAGAGAGACAGTATATGCTTATGGTCATCACATATTTATGGCAAATAAAATGCCTATAGCTTTTTAAGCCTAGGGTGTTTTGATAACGTTGCTAAATGACAAAATAGCATATGTCCATTAAAAGTAAAACAAATCTAAGCATTAAACATTTTGGCATGAAAACAAACTTGTATTACACAGGTAGATATGATTATATCTTATATCAGGGGTAGGCAACCTTTCCCCTTTAAGGGCCGAGGGACTTCAGCTCCCAGAATCCCAGGAGCTATTGGCCAATATGGGACTATTGGCCAACATGGCTGAGGCTTCTGGGAGCTGAAGTCCCTCGGCCCTTAAAGGGGAAAGGTTGCCTACCCCTGTCTTATATCTTATTAAATGTTCATGCACATTTGCTGGTTGTGTTTTTTGTTATTGTGCTGATATAGTTATATGTATATATTGCTATTTACAATATACTATATAGTTACTAATACTCTAACATCCAGTTATCACAGTAATGCCTGGCTCTTGTTAGTTAATCCTACTGAGTAGAGTATTGAAAAGTGTTGAATAAGAAGTCAACTAAGGATCAGTTGTTGAATGTTGAATCTCATTGGTCCAAAAGCACACTGCAGAAATAATTCAGTTTGAGACCACTTTAACTGCCCTGACTCAATTCTAGGGAATTCCAGGAACTGTAGTTAGACACTTCACCTTCTCTGTCAGAGAGCTCTGGTGTCACAATAAACTACAATTCCCAGGATTCTCTAGCACTGAGCCAGGTGAGTTAAAGTGATCTCAAACTGGATTATTTCTGCATTGTGTTTTGGACCATTGATTCAATTGAGTTTTTTGCACAACTAAAAAATGTGACTTACCTTTCCCAGTTTGAATCCTCTTCCGGGATGCAGCCAGGTTCTATCACTCACATTTTGCCACCAATGCCACCTTCTGGCTGCATCCTGCCTAAAATCTGGCTAGAATCTGTGCTCAACAAGCCACTTTTTGCGAAAAACTCCAATGGCCCTACTCTAAATGAGACGAAAAGAAGGATTTAGGCCTAAGTGTCCAGGAACAATGGACAATGATAAAATATATATTCAAAAATATTCAGTGAAGGAGGGATGGCAGGTATTCAACATTCTAACCTTGGGGTACAAGTATATTTGCAACTATTAAGGCTCACAAATCCCATTTTCATTGATTGTCTGACAATTTTCACATTGCAGTGATGCAGTGTAAAAGTACATGGACATCTAAAGATTTAAGTGAATTTTCTAAAACAAAATTAATGCATAACTTCCCAGGAAAAATGACCCACCACAAAGCATACCTTTATTATATAAAGTTTGCTATTGCAGGTGATGTGCGCTTTCAAGTGTTTATGACATATGGCAATCCTAAGGCAAAATTTGTTCACAGGGGGTTTGTCTTTGCTTTCCTCTGAGGTTGAGAGAGTATGACTTGCCAAGGTCACCCAGTGGATTTCCATAGCTGAACAGGGATTCCAACCCTGGTCTCTGGAGTCCTAGTCAAACAGCTCAAACCACTACACCACACTGGTCCCCTTTAAATGAAGTAGTAAAGCATTACCAATACCAGTGGGTCACATTTTAGATTAATCTGTCAAGCGCTTGACAGGTTGATGCTTTTTATTTGACATATTTATGAACTGTTTCCACTGAACAAACATGTAAAACAATGCACAACAATTAAAACATTTTTTGTCTTTCCTTTACATCTTCACATTGTCCCATTTCAACTTTCTCCCACCATTCCTTCCCTTTCACACTACAAATTTCATCCAGGTCAGGTTTTTGATCATTGAACTGGCTCTTTAAAAAGAAAAGGGAAACCTGTATGTTGGCTTGCGAAGTGCGCCAAACAATTTCAGAAGAAAATCAGCCTGTGGTTTATACATTACAGCAAACCCTGTAATTGTGTAGACCATGAAAAACTATGGATTGCTCTAAAAGGAATGAGTATGCCAGAATATTTCATCATTCTAATGGAAAACCTATAGTCAGGATAACAGGCCACTGTAAAAACAGAATATAGAGAAACAGAATGGTTTGAACTGGTGAAGGGGTCAGGCAAGGCAACATTTTATTATCCTATCTGTTTGATTTATATGAAGAACATGTCATATGTAATTCAAAGACCTATGTCCAAAACACACTGCAGAAATAATCCAGTTTGAGACTGCTTTAATTGCCCAATGGAAAGCAGGATTAGACTTGGAGGAGGGAGGCATGAAAATTGCAAGAAGGAATCTCGACAGTTTAAAATATGTAAATGAAACCATACTATGAGCAGGAAAGAGCGATGATTTACACAAATTGTTGACACACCCCCTAAACAGACGGGCAGCCGCGGACCGCCCTGGGAAGGTGCGCTGCAGGACCAAGGCATCCCCATGCCTTGATCCAGTGGCGCACCGTCGGCGCCCCTGGAAAGGAGTGCTAAAATAGCGCTCCTTTTATATGTCGCTGAAAGTGCACCGCAAAAGCTTGCGGCGCACTTTCGGCGACCCTTCTGCCGCAGCGTGTCCGGACGCTGCGGCAGGAGGTCCTCCTCAGAGTGCCGGCCATGCGGAGGACCGGCTGCTCCAAGGATGACCTCAGGAGGGGGAGGGGGCGCCGAGCGTGTGGCTGTCCCTCCCCTTCCCTGCACCGAGGATGGCTTTTTAAGTCGTCTGCTGAGGCCCAAAGACACTGAAATAATCAAAAGACTTTCTATACCTTTGCTCAGTCACAAAACAAAAATGGAGATTGTAGTCAATAAATCAAAAGACTAGGAATTGGAAGGGCAGCTACAAGCAGACAAAATCATCAAGTGTAAAGATGACTACTAATAACAGACTGACCCATGCCATTGTATTTCCAATAAATCAATGAAACCTGGACAGTGAAGAAAGTTAACAGGAATAGTATGGAATCCTTTGAAATGTACTGGGGGAGAGTTCTACAGACTCACAAAATGATCAATAAATGGGTCCTAAGGCTAATCAAGCCTGAACTCTCCTTAGAAGCCAGAATGACCAAAATGAGTATGTGTATGTGTCCATGTGCCTTCAAGGCAACCCCATGAATTCCATAGGGTTTTCTTAGGCAAGGCATACTCAAATAAAGAATCTGATCCTTCCAAAGGAGAAGAAATTATTATTGTAGAAGAAACAAAAAGTAATGGTCAGACTGTGATAGAAGAAAAAAGTCTTGTTGACACAGTATATGCATTAAAGGATGAAGTACAAGAATTAAGACAGGATTATGAAGATGAAAAAGATGAAGCTGTCCCTGGAAGAACAAAGAGCTTGTGAGGAGCTTGAAAAATTTGTCCAGAAAGTTCTGAAAAGTATGAATGATCCTTCTTGGGATGAAACCAACTGATCACAGATTTACCATTCCTTCCTTTCTATTGAAAGACAGATTTTGTCTAATCAAGCTGGGAAGACTTCTGAGAATTTCGTCAGTGTTGCATCTAGAGCACAAGGCAGGACTTTTAACTGGATCTAGTGATTTTCTCTCCCTGCATTGCATAATATCACTGAGTCTGTACTTAAGTGTAGATAGCATGGACCCTAAAGTTGGCTAGGCTTAACTTGATTATATTTAAATTACCTCATTTTGCAGCTAGTACAACAGCTGGCTATGAAGTCCATGGTGTTCTGCCCCCTCCTCTTTGTAAATATCTGTAATTTTGAATGCAAATGTGATTTGTGTATCAGGACTGAGACGTTATGCTATTTTCCTATGGTTGTAGCTAAGCAATAGAAGTGATGGTTGATGCTCTCTTAAAACGTAATGAAATTTCTGCACTGTTCCAAGATTGTTTTGACCTGTTATTTTTGTATTAGGCATTAGTTGCAATTAAAAAAAAGCAATATAGCCTACAGCACCTGGTATTCATTAGTAGTCTCCCATCCAAGTGCTAACCATGGCTGACCCTGCTAAGCTTCCAAAATCAGATAGAATCTGGTGCCTTTAGGATAGTTAGGCCTCTGAGGCTATCACACCTTGACCAAATCATGAGACATCACTCACAAGAAAAGTTGATAATGCTTGTTAAAGTGGGAGGCAGTAGGAAAAGGTAAGGCCATATTACAGATGGATAGACTCAGTCAAGGAAGCCACAGCCCTCCACCTGACGGACCTGAGCAAGGCTGCTGATGACAAAGAGACAAAAGCCATCTATTTCGACCCCTTACCATGCAGGAATACACAATTACACCATTCCTAAAAGATGTCTATCCAGTCTCTGCTTCAAAGACCCTCAGAGTCCACCCCTGCTCCCAAGGCAGTCTGTTCCACTATTTAACAGCTTTTATAGTAAAACAAACAAACAAACAAACAAAAACTTCTTTTTTGCCAGTTTAATGCTCATACTCCCAGTTTGGAAAAATCCTTTTGGAGCTTTTTGTTGTTCTCTTTAGTTTCAATTAAGATAAAAGTTTAACGACTGAAACAGGAACTAAAATGTTTTATAAAATTAAACTGAAATCATAATCTTCAGAGAGAACAAGGATGCCAAAGATGTGATGATACTGCTTTAATACACTGCCATCATGTGGGTGATGAAAGATCATGCAGAGAAACCTACGGTACTCAGAAGTTCTGCATCGAGGTTTAATGAACTTACTGAAAATTCATAGGATTCTGCACAGATCAGCAGGCTACAAGGAGTGAGCACTTAAGACAGAAAACAGTGACTGTGTGCAAACTGATGTAGTTTTACAGCATTTTGCTGTGAGTAAGGTAATTGTTTTTCATCCGATTGTTCTGTTCATGGAGATGTGGGAGCCAGCATGGTTTAGTGCAGGGATAGGCAACCTTTCCCCTTTAAGGGCCGAGGGACTTCAGCTCCCAGAAGCCTCAGCCATGTTGGCCAATAGTCCCATGTTGGCCAATAGCTCCTGGGATTCTGGGAGCTGAAGTCCCTCGGCCCTTAAAGGGGAAAGGTTGCCTACCCCTGGTGTAGTGGTATGAGTGTTGAACTACAGCTCTGGACACCCTGCTCAGCCATGAAACTCACTGGGTGACCTTGGGCAAGTCACCTTCTCTCAGCTTCAGAGGAAGGCAATGGTAAATCTCCTGTGAACAAATCATGTAAAGAAAATCCCAAGACAGGTTCACCTTAGGGTAGTCATAAGTTGGAAACAACTTGAGGGCACACGGCACACAAGGGTATATTCTTCTGAAATACAGCATAGACAGGACTAGCTCAAAGCACCTGATCTATTCTATGAATCTGACACCTGATGTCGGGTTTGCTCTAACAGAGTAATGTCCTCTACCACTCTGGTATTAAGTGTGAAGAGGATCCATTATGGCTACAATACATTCAATAGGATTTACTCCTAGGTAAGTGGAAGCAGGATTGCCATTTCATCCTTTTCACTGTTTGTTGCAGAGCTGCCTTTTTTGTGTGAGGAAACAGTTGATCTTCATCTGTTAGATAATATTAACCTGTCCATTTAAAGTAACATTTCATTTTGTCTCAGTACAAGGAGTGAGGGTCACTAAAGTCCATGAAAACTGTCTTTTGATGTGCTTTTATTTTTTGAGGTCCTTTATGATGGAAGCAGCAACATTCATGAACATTTCAACATGCTTCTCACTGCAAATGATTGTACCAAATATTATTGTGGCAGCATTTGTGCTTCTCATGAAGCCTTTTCCAGCCATCAGCAATCTGCGATGAATCCTAATTTTGAGAGGGAAAAATGAGAGATGAAAAAAATATTAGCCATCTTAAATTCTTTTCATTATTGGCTACAAAAAGGGATGCTTCACATTCTTTCATTGGCAGCAAACAGCAGAAAGTATTTCAAAGCTAGGGTTCACTGATGACACCGCACTATTTCTTTAATGCAACTTTCTTATTACCATACACTGCGAAGCTATGGTTCTAATGGAACTTTTAGTGAGCCTATGGGGTTTTGTTGTATTACTTTCATGTAAATTACTCAGGTGGCTAATTTTACTTTAAAATCAATATGAAAACATGCTGGAATCTTTCCTTTTAGGTAACTGGCAAACAAATAATAATATTGGCTTTGTTTGGGTTTTTTCTTTTTATTATTACATAAAAATAACCTGTCACATGTATTAAGTCTAGAATCCCCTGAGCTAACTGAAGTCTTTCAACAATTTGCAACTGACCAAAAGGACAGAGAAAAAGCAAATCAGACCGAAATGCTAAATGTATCAGCATAATCTTTAACCCAAAAGTGCTTTTAATAAGTAGGCTGGGCTGAAAGTAAAATGTTTTAATTACATAGTTACAAGTGTATGATTTTTCAAAATGCCACCATCTCTATGGTAGACTGATATAGTGCATAATGTCTATAAAAATGCCAATACATCCTTACAGAATTCTCTTTCAGAGAACATTTGAATGCTTTTATTTTTTTAAATGTACTTTTAAATTTATTATGTTTTATCCTGCTTTTAAAAATTAAAAATATAGCCAAGTGCAAGAAATCTTTTCTGCAAAAGAAAAGAAACAGAATAGGAAAAAAGTCTCTTCTGAAAGAACACTGAAGAAGAAAACACACTTACATTA